GAGAAGCAAATGAATTAGAAGCCAAAGTACTGCAAAAGCTAGCAGCACAAATACACAATTTAATTAATTATTGATTCCATATAATTGACTGCTCCCAGTTAGTATTGAAGTTATTGCTCAGAATTTTATATGGAATAATACAGGGTGTTTTTTTGGGAGCTTTAGTTAAAAGTTTCTGGGAAAGTAAAATAGGTAGGTTTTTGAAAATTTGTACTTAGGAGTTACTCTGAAGGCCGAATCGATGTAAAATATTTTCAAAATGGCCGCACTTCCGGAAACACCGGAAGTAGATAGTAACTTCGTTATTTTAAATGGCAACCCCTATTTTTTATTGCATTTTTGGATTCTACGTGAAATTTCAGTTCTTTTGATACCCATATGTCGATATCTGCCATTTATGGTTTTTAAGTTATTTTGACTTTAAGAAAAAAAATGGCGGATGCAGATGGTACCTTGATAATTGATTACTTGAAAAAGGTTATAGTCATGGCAACCCATTTTTATCAGTGCATAGAGAATGAATAGGGCTTTCTTTTAGTGCACTTAAAAAAAAGTTAAGTTGCGTACGACCGCCCCTATGGATATCCAACTTTATGAAACTTCAAAAACTAAAAACTCAGTTTTTTTAAATGGAATGACCATGTTCTTACTACTCCATGAGATAGAGAATCGAAATGGGCATATTTTGACAATACATGTTCCTATAGCTATCTTTAACAGTTTCTGACTTATTCCCATTTTATTGAATTGACACTATTTTTTTCGGATTTTCTTTTTAGTAGTCGGCCATGATTCTATAACAATTGAATTTTAAACAAATCTAGTGACACTAATCCATCACCCACTGTTATAGGTTAACATAAGTTTTTCAAAAATCGAAAAATGACTCGCAGTGGTTTCACCTATTTTGGAATTTAATTGTTATTTATGGTGAAATGGGCAGAATCGCGGCGCGTGCTTTCCTTACATTCATTCGAAAACTGGAACGAAATTGTATGAATTTTGGAAATTTTGTACCCCTAATGCACTACAAACCGTTGAAGCATAAGTGATACAAAGCTCTACAAGAGAATATTTAAGAAAATGAATTGAATTGCAAATGCAAGATTAACAAATTAAATTCAATGCAAAATATAAAAAAACTTCGTTGAAACATTTTTGGTATGGAATTGTTGCTAGAACAGATATCGCATTACCTTTCTGAATTTCCAGACTTATAAGTTGTTTAAGAAATTCAGTTGAACGACTCTGTTTAGATTTTTCAAAAATTTTCCGTCCTATATCCTTAATAAATGAGTTATTTATTAATGAATTATTTAAACTAGAACTAGAATCAATGGTATTAAAGAATCCATTCCTTGATTTGTTTAAAATTCGATTGTTATAAAATCATGGCCAACTACTAAAAAGAAAATGCGAAAAAAATGGCATCAATTCCGAGATCAATTCAATGAAATGGGAATAAATCAGAAACTGTTAAAGATAGCTATAGGAACATGTAATATCAAAATATGCCAATTTCGATTCTCTATCTCATGCAATATTAAGAACATGGTCATTCCATTTAAAAAAACTGAGTTTATAGACTTTGAAGTTTCTTAAATTTGGATCTCCATAGGTGCGGTTGTACGCAACTTAACTTTGTTTTAAGTACAGTAAAAGAAAGCCCTATTCATTCTCTATGCACTGATAAAAATGGGTTGCCATGACTATAACCTTTTTCAAGTAATCAATTATCAAGGTACCATCTGCATCCGCCATTTTTTTTCTTAAAGTCAAAATAACTTAAAAACCATAAATGGCAGATATCGACATATGGGTATCAAAAGAACTGAAATTTCACGTAGAATCCAAAAATGCAATAAAAAATAGGGGTTGCCATTTAAAATAACGAAGTTACTATCTACTTCCGGTGTTTCCGGAAATGCGGCCATTTTGAAAATATTTTACATCGATTCGGCCTTCAGAGTAACCCCTAAGTACAAATTTTCAAAAACCTACCTATTTTACTTTTCCAGAAACTTTTAACTAAAGCTCCCAAAAAAACACCCTGTATACGTATATGTAGGGTCTTTATTTCACAAGGGACTCCATTAGCTCTTAACATTAGTTATTGAAGATTTTGCCGGGAATTTTGTTCAAAATGATACAACTGAATAGGTACCGAACATGGTTCGAGATCGTATTTGGAGTGTAGCTTTTTGACCCAATAGTCTACGTTGCTGAAAAACAATAGCGACCATATGCACCAATTTCCAAGGCGATCGGATATTTCTAAACAAAGTTATCGTTTACACGAACTGGCAGACAGACGGACAGACAAACAGTAATACAAAATTATAAACGATCTCAAGACTCAAGAACTTTCTTATTTATGGAGATATTTCTATGACACTTTAACCAAAGTTGCGCTTTTAGTGTAAGCAAACGTATCGCATATTGTAAACATCAGATTAATGCGCACATGCGCCGGATGCGCAATATCAACTGTTATTTATCGAGATATCTTTTTGAAATGTTAATCACATATGCTTTTGTTAAAGGCAAACATAACTGACAGTGCAAAAATTAGATGTGCGCATGCGCAGTCTGTGCCAACTTCTTTATTTACCAAGATATTTCTTTGAAATTTTAACCATAGATGCTTCTAGTAAAGAAAAACATATCGCATGTAGTAAAAATCGAAAACTACAAATGTCATTAGGAAAAGCAAACATATCGCACATAGTAAAAATCAAATCCACGCATGCGCAGTTTGCAAAATGCCAACTTTTTTACTTATGAAAATCTCTCTCTCATACCTGTGCTTATACGCGAACTGCGCAACGCCAACTTTTTTGTTTAAATAATAAATAATAATAATATATTTGTGCTAAAAATACAGTACTGTATTTACACTTGTCATATTTAAAAATAAAACAAATTAAAATTAACATCACAGCTTGGAGGACAAAAATTCATCGATCGAATAAAAGCTACCAGTTAGCAGGATCTTTTTAACATCAATTCTGAATTTATTTAAAGAGGCAGTCCTTAGCGTGTCAGGTAGATGATTAAACAATTTGGGACCGTGATAGTTGGTTGAATTCCTACTCCTGTTGAGTCTTAAGCGTTTTATGTTGATGTCTTTGGGGGACCTTGGCGGGTGTCGTGTGCATGAATGTCATTTTGAGTCGTATATACATGTACGTTGTTTTTCACTTCGAGGAGGGTGTGATAAATATAAATACAAGGTAAAGTTAAGTATACAATGTTCCTTAAACTTATGTCGTACGTCTTCAGTATACCGAACACCTGTAATTTTATGGAGATATTTATTTAAACCATATATGCCTCTATAGTATGGAAAATCACAGCGCACAGAGCTATAGCCTTTTGGGAAGTACATGGAAAATGCGCTGAAATTACTCGCCTTAAGGCGAAAACCTTTTTACTTGTTTATATTTGTTTGCTTTGTTCGCAACCTACTTTAATACTAGACAAGTGCGGCCAGTAAAGTGACAAGTGCCAGGAAACGTAGTCTGTTCTGCCTCTGTCATGGAAACCAAAATTTCCTGACAGAAAGTAGGCATGAAAATGAAGGTTTTAGGCTTATATCATATAGTACATGGACTGCTAATTGTAACTAAAATATGGTCAAGGACATCGCCTGGGTATGTGAGTTTCAGGGTAAACGAGTCTGTCCGAAGTTGTCCGATGAGACACGATTTGAGACTGTCAACCTATAAATTAACAAACGTCAATTAATTAATCGCCTAGATATCCCCAAAAAAAAACTTATTCTTATTTGTGGACGTATAGCAAATAATGAAGAGCATTTAAAGCTTCCCGTACTACGCGGTTACTATAAAGCTGCTCTTTAAGCGATCCTACTGGTGTTTACACGACTTTAGTTTACCCTGAGATTCACATACCCACGACTACAGTGCCCTCTATCCGTGACCATCCATTTTGTATTGAAAGCATAGCGAATAGCAGTCCATGTACCTACTATATGGTCTAAGGTTTCAGGACGACCGACTACATCGGTCACACTTTTTTCTTACGCAGGACAATCACATTTTTACTGTTATTAATTGTCTACCCATTATACCCAATTGTTAATTTATTAATGTTCAGTTCGCTTACCATTCCTTCATGCATAAGCTTTGTTTGCTGTTTGTCGACAAACTTTGGTCACGTTTTCTAAAGTGATGTCGGTTTCCCTCAGCAGTCACTCTTGCAGTTCACGATCTTGGATTTCTATAATAGTATTATTTTTCCTCTTGTTTTATCTTTATCCTTTGTCAGACTTTCCTCTTGCTTGTCAACTTTTAGCTAACTTTCGGTTTCGGTAAGAAAAGCATTAAAGTACTCACGTTCCGCTTGATTAAAATTAAAGAATCGATATTTATTAAACACTTGATTCTTTCTAGAAACACAGTAATCTTCAAAACGCGGCATTACTGTCTTTTAGTGTGTTTTTTTTCTACCTTTGGTATTGCATTGGGGTAAAAAATGACCCCGACCATTTTTTTTGACAGAAATACTCGTTTTAAAGCACTAGGAATCCGAATCAAACAAAATTTCGGTGATGTGGGTGTATCTGTCGGTCTGTCTGTCTGCACTTTCATTTCCGGCTAAACGGCTAAACAGATTATAACCAAATTTAGTATCTACACATACTCTTAGACATAAAAGTGGCAAAAAACTAATTGTTGTGTAAAATGTGTATGTAGGTTTAATTTAATTTTAATTTATTTATTTATGTGCCCAACAGATAATAATCCAACAATTACAGGGCAAAATGCACAAATGTGCCTAAGCATAACAATAACAACCCCAATACATAACAAAAAACAAAAAAAAACAAAATACATTAATAAAGGTAAGCATAATATATATAGGTACAGCAAATTCTGTGTAGTGTGGCATGTATCCTTACAATGATGAATGTGCTCATATCACACTTATCACCTATCACACTTAGGTTAACCATTAATGTAACAAAAATCTTCTAGGTGGTCAAGCCGTAAACAAATGAGAAGCTGCATTTTGTTTTGACGCTAAGCTATCGCTACTATGGCATACATTAGACCAAAAGCTGACCTGGAAAGCTCACATAAAAGCAAAACGCCAACAATCTAAAAGCAATAAAGATGTCTTGGCTAATTGGGAGAAAATCGCAACTGACCTTGAATAACAAACTATTACTGTATAAAGTCATCCTAAAACCCATATGGACATACGGAATTGAGCTATGGGGTTGCAGCAAACCCTCAAATACCAAAATGCTTCAGGCATTTCAATCCAAGATTCTGCGATCAATAGCTAATGCAGAATGGTTCGTCAGCAACCAGACCCTGCACAATGACTTTGGAATCCCATATGTCAACGAAGTAATCAGATCCACAGCCAGAAATAGTCGTGACCGCACCTTACACCATAACAATCGATTAATAGCTAACCTCTATCACCATCAGCTAGTGAACAGAAGATTAAAAAGACAATGGCCCGAAGATCTGACTGAATAATCATGGTGACCCATCAATGGATGGTGCCCAACTCAAGCCACCTGCAAAAATATCATCCTCTTTACTTATTACTCTGTAGTTTATTTGAGTAGATTGTAAATTTGCAATTAAAAATAAAAAAAAAAAAAAAAAAGACTTACATTTGCTACTTTCGGAACCTCTTAAAAGTTACTGTTTGTTCCACCCGGAGAATTAACATAATGTTCATGCAATCTATACTTTCTCAAATTTGAAAATTGGAACAATAAGCGACGTTTTTGCGCTCCATGCCCGTTCGTGGTTCATAATGTTGAATCACAGATTTAAATATTTAAATCTGTGGTTGAATGAACAGCCTCAGTAGTTTCCAAATTTTGAAAAATTGCATACGGTAAAATACTGATTTTTGAGGTCTTCACAATTGGAATTAACTAGAAATAATTCAGGTTTGAGACTTTGAGTGTCCTTTCACTGGTTTTACCAGGCTGTTACTATCTCGTGTTTCAGGAAAATCATAAACCCAAATCATAAAATTAGATCTGCGCATGTCGGCAGCGCTAAGGAATAACAAGTTAAAAAGTAATCGTAAACGATTTACATAAAGCGCATTTCCACTTGCATTCATTTCCCATTTGTAAGATGCAGCTTCTGTTAAAATCGTAAAAATCCGCCCACAAATATGAAAGATAGCGTTGCACATGGGCAATCCATTGTTGACGTGCTACTTCAATTTCAGTTTATGCGAAGAATTTTATTTCAATGCTTTTCTAAATAAGAAAGTTGGAACTGCGCATGCACAAACCTAAATTTTAAAACTAATGTTAGATTTTCCTTTGTTCCAAGCGCCTAAGTATCAAATTTCACTTAAATAGTTCCATAGATGAAAAAGTTGGCACTGCGCATGCGCAAAATAAAATTTTGAAACTGGCGCTAGATTTTCCTTTAGCCCAAGTGCCTATGTATCAAATTTCGTTTAAATTCTTCCATAAATAAAAAAGTTGGCACTGCGCATGCGCAAAACCAAATTTTGAAATTGGCGTTTGATTTTTCTTTATCCCAAGTGCCTATGTATCAAATTTCGTTTAAATTCTTCCATAAATAAAAAAGTTGGCACTGCGCATGCGCAAAACCAAATTTTGAAAATGGCGTTTGATTTTCCTTTATTCCAAGTGCCTATGTATCAAATTTCGTTTAAATTCTTCCATAAATAAAAAAGTTGGCACTGCGCATGCGCAAAACTAAATTTTGAAATTGGCGTTTGATTTTCCTTTATTCGAAGTGCTTATGTATCAAATTTCGTTTAAATTCTTCCATAAATAAAAAAGTTGGCACTGCGCATGCGCAAAACCAAATTTTGAAATTGGCGTTTGATTTTCCTTTAGCCCAAGTGCCTATGTATCAAATTTCGTTTAAATTCTTCCATAAATAAAAAAGTTGGCACTGCGCATGCGCAAAACCAAATTTTAAAATTGGCGTTTGATTTTCCTTTATTCCAAGTGCCTATGTATCAAATTTCATTCAAATACTTTTATAAGTAAAAAAGTTTGCAATTCGGCTTATAAATGGTCGAGGTGCGAAAAGGGCACTGTGAATTTTGAATCGATTCGATTCAACTCTTGGCATTGCGTATTATATGGCTAAATCTATGCCCATATTGAATTTTATGCAATTCAGTTCATAACTAACGGAGATGTAAAAGCGATCGAACATTTCTAAACAAAGTTATCGTTCACACGGACAGATAGATGGACAGACAGATAGCAATGCAAAATTATAAACGATCTCTAGGATCGTTAATAAACGGCAAAAGTGTAAAATTATGGAACATGTAAAAAAAACGGTTTTTTGTTTTTTTTACAATAACTTTTTTTGTAAGCGGTACAGAAAAAATTCCTTCCTTGGTACAAGACTCGACACCATAACGAAATAACAAATAGCGAAAAAAGTAGAACAATAGCTCTTAAGATAAAAAACTAGTAGCGTCGCAAAGTTAGCGGACGGACGGACGGACGGACGGACAAAGTGGCCACAATAGCGCTTTTTTTTTTTGTGGAAATGCGCTAAAAATAAACATTCTGCACATACAATCTGCAGAACAGACAAATCCCTATAATAAATATATACGTATATATGTATAATAAATCACTATAGAAATCCCCACTATAGCTTAGGTCCAAAAATGTCATAAAATTTGGTTTGGATCCTTTCTCATACGTAATTAGGTATCCTCTCCCTTGTTTGTCTCTCATTTGTAACTTATTCCTATTATCAATCTCTCACTTTCATAGGAATTTCATGGTCACTTGGTGACTTTGTTCTTCATATCACTTATGGTCGTCCCGTGAAAACGATTACTTAGGTACATTATCCAAAGGGCTTATTTTCTAATATCAGGGATATTATCACGTTCTAGGAAAGGTCGTAGGTATATATTTTAATTTTCCAATTCAGGAAGTCGAATTTTTCTTACACCTATAAATAGTATATTATATTTAAAGCAAGATTCGCGGCAAGATTTAAAGGTCCTTGTTTTTTTAACCAGGGATACTATTTGAAAGAAGTAAATCAATTACCGTCTTTTTTTTATTGTTCAAAGCTAGAACGAGTATCCAGTGTACCTACTACTCGCATTTTATAATTTTACAGTTTCAGTGTTCTTATTTTGATTGTCACGTTATTGTATCGGTTTGTAACAGTTTTTAAGGGGGGAGATGCAATACGTAGAATTCAGAACGTTTAAAAGATTCATTGATTTTTTTTAGGACCCTACATAACTTCATCAGACACAGACCCAGACACTAATCGTTACTTGATTTTAATCCGTGCGATTAGTTAACCAGACTAGACCTGAGTTCTCACAAGAAACACCGACCATAATAATAATAATAATAATAATTGATTTATTCTGCAGGGTAGGTACACAATGAAATTACATATTTTACGTAAAATAAATAACAATAAGTAACACTATATCTATATATAATCATCAAGGCTGCCACATAGTGAAACATGTAAAGTATGCAAACTTCACGCGTTCAAAAACATAGTGCGTCACATTCGCAAATTTAAAATAAATAGAAATTGGTTGTATCTTTCATGACTACTGCCCTTCTTTTTAACTGTTCAAATACCTCCAGAACGAAGTGTCATAGATGGGTACTCTCAAGGGGATGGTCTGGACGAGACATTTACTGGCGGTGTGAAACCTTAAGTATGAATATTTCGACAATAGAGTGCCGGAGGAAGTGATTAAAGTACTATTCCTTCCTTCCTAAATACTAGTAATTTAATTGACTACATTTTAACAATACATAAGCGATAAATTTGAATTGAAACTAGTTGTGGTTGTGGTAAAGTAACTGTTTGATAAAGAGTTTCCTATTATACTCGTACATTTTAAATAAGCTTTATTAATTTACGGTAGCATTAGATATCATAATCAAAGTGGGCAGACAATACTATTCATATTCTTGAGATAACACTTAATTACCAATCCAATTAAGATGAGGATATTGGGTTGCCACTGTTACCGGTACGATTGCATGGCATTGTGGAAATGTAGAATTTATCATTCCGATGTTTTGTGGTGGACGTGTCACGTGGGTCAGAGAGAGATTCATACATAGTTCATAATGCGTCTTCATTCCATCCTTATTACTTACCTAATATACCTACCTACTTTTTCCTGAATACTATAGGTGATACTTTTTCAGCTCCTTCATTTGTGACCCTTTAGTAGGTCTATAAATTGGTCTACACAGCATAATATTTAGTAGCCTATTTATCGCACTGGGTTGTTCTTTTTTCCCAACAAAATTAGTCAAAAAACGTGCTCGACATTACGGTATTGCAGGCGATTCCGTACCCGTACGTGTTCGACATCGTCCAGGACTGGAGTTCCGATCACCTTCCCATCGTCATGACCCTTCACACGAAGCCGTCCGTCACCATACCCCCGAACACCAGGAAGATTACCAATTGGAAGAAGTTTAACGAACATCTCCAGAGAAGCATACCATCCGGGAACCCCGACATCCGCACCCCGGCTGACCTAGACGAGAAAGTGCAGATACTGACGACCAAACTTCAACAGGCGCTGGCCGCGGCCACCAAACAAGTCCCGGCCAAGAAGGCGAATCAGCTCCCTCAGTATCTCAAGGAGGAGATTAGAGAGAAAAGGAGACTCGTTCGGCGATGGCAACTCACCCGAGACCCCGACATAAAGAGACAGGTCAATGCCAAACAAGCCGCCCTTCAAAGTACCATCCAGGACTTCAACAACAAATCTTGGAACGAACACGTCGAGGAAACCATGACCCGATGCGGAAACGTCTTCCAAATCGGTCGTGCGCTTACCTCCAGGAAACCGCCGGCGTATCCCAACGGTCACCGCTACGACGCAAAGGAAAAGGCAGAGCTCTTCGCCGAAACCCTTCGAGTGAACTTCACCCCGTTCTCCGTCGAAGACGAAGAACACAATAGACAAGTGGAAGAAGAGCTCGAAAGAATCCTCGCGGCCCGCGTGGAAAACGAACTTGCGTTCGTACCTCCGACGGAAGTCCGCACCATCATCCTCAAACAAAGTCCTCGAAAAGCGGCCGGAGCCAACGGCATAACATATAGAGCCCTACAGAACATCACACGCCCAATTTTCGCCTACATCACGAGAGTGTTTAACGCCGCGATAGCGTTAGGACACTTCCCAACAAGCTGGAAGAAGGCGATTGTGATAATGCTACCGAAGCCCGGGAAAGATCTAGCCGAACCCCAGAGCTATCGACTCATATCTCTCCTACCAGCCCTGGGGAAGATTTTCGAGAGAATACTGCTGGCGAAATTGCAACCAAACATAAGGCCCGAACAGTTCGGGTTTCGCAGAGAACAAATCATCCGCTTGGTAGACGCCGTCGCCGAAGCCTACAACAGAGGTCAAGTCACAGTGGCCGCGTCGTTCGATAACGAAAAGGCATTCGACAAAGTGTGGACGGCAGGCCTGCTCGTCAAGATGCATCGAACCCAAAACATACATGCCTCATTCACCCGGCTTCTCCACAGCTACCTTTCGAACCTAACCTTCCGGGTCAAAATAGAAG